TCCAGTAATAAAACTAAATCAAATGGACAATGCAGGATATAAATCCAATAGGAATCATATATTACATATGTTTAGTATCTTATAATTAAATTGAGATAAAATACAATAGGTGATATGCTGTTATACATATCAAAAATAGAATGTCCATTATTAATGTACACCAAATATAATACAATATCAAAAGAGGCTCTCACTGAATTAGGGCATCAATCTTAACAAGACTCATTTGAACTATATGAGCCTGAAAAAGCTTTAATATCTAAGGCCTTAGTTAAAGGGTCTGTTAACATGTAATTAATGATCACATGCTCCATAAGAGACCAAAAAAACTCAAGAATGTTCTCTATCACAAATGAAACTCCACATCAAAATACTTAGTTCATTTAGAACTTTTGATGTATTGAAGGAAACAAAAGGTAGTCATGTTATCCAATAAATTGCTAAAAATCTATAAGTGAAGAATCAAATTCTTTAACCATATAGCCCAACAAGAGGCCATATAACATATACTATATAATTGAGGTAATTATAAGTGTTTTCTCAACACTTTTCCATGAAACAACTCCTCCAAATATTATAAAGATGTAATTATATATGAATTCAATATCATCTAAGTAGCTAGCATAATTAGAATCAAAGAAGCCACTAATATTCAATGGCCTAAATCAGGATTGCTCAAGTGTCTACCAAGTGCACCAATGACACAATTATATATTAGAATGAGTGCACACTTAAACATACATTAAGTTGCCAATAGAAGATGATAGTGGGATCATTATGAGAATATTGAGATTTAAAAGCTTATCACCCTTTTAAATACGTGTTGTACCAGGAAAACCAAATTGTAAGTTGAATCTACTGAAAACCTGTTCAATACAGACCTTTTGAGACAATTCTAAAATTGTCACATCATCTATCACAATGAGTCAAAATGCCTAAAATAAAGGGATCAACTAGACCCTTCATATCGAACAGGCAAGACATCATATGATTCATCTCATTCAACAAAGAAACACAATTTAGTAATAAGCTGAACATCACATAATACAAGGTTTATGAAATCACTCGCACTAGTCCTCAGAAAAATACATAGATTTGCATCATTATGTTTTTAACCAACATAATTGATCTCATTTAGAGTTTTCACAAATGACAATTGCATGATCACAAAATTGGCATTAAAATAGTTATCCAAAATGTTCTATTACACTTAAAATACTAAGCTAGGTTTCACTCAAATCCAGCAAGACATGCAATTGCGAATCAAACTGTTACTTGTCAAAATCCCGCCTAAGGATTCCGGACTATAACAAATCAAGAAAATTCTTTATCATATAAAAAAAAGACTTTAATATCCTCATACCGATAAGGCATTTGAATATTAAAGAGTATTAACAAGAATTTAAAATTATAATATTCAATAATCATAGTAAAAATGTCACATTGATAGGGTATAAACACTATTAGTATACTTTATTTCAATGATTGGTGAAAAACAATCAAATAAGTGAATTATAATTGATTGTCACTAAACAATTATATGATCGATCCCACGGTAGGTGAGTTTACCATCATAAAGAAGTGATCACATTAATAATCATGATCCCAATATTTGATGTCCAAAATTTCATTGTGAAATACAATTTAATCTCAATGTATTGCAAAATTGCATATAGTATGTGATATATTTTTGCAAATAAACCAATCAAGGCATTAATGTTGTAACCTAATATAGGGTCATATTGATCGTAATTGGCATCAACATAAATAGTAATAGAAAGATCATTAAAAAGACCATTTATGAGTTAAAAGATTTTAAAACATTAAATGGCTTATAATGCTTTAGATATTACAAGTTCAATTGAAAGTATGAAAGTCTTCAAGCTTGAAAAGTTCCCAGTTTGAGGACAACCTTTAACATTTCTAAGGGAGTATCAATGTCCAGCATATTTAATGGTCAATTGAAAGAATGGAAGTCTTGGGATTGCAAGTAAGCAAGCCTAAAATGTGAACAGGCATAGTTGCATTGCCATGTGTTTTAGTCAACCAAACTATCAAAAATGTTTAGTCTTCGATATTTTGTATGTGTGATTTTTGTACATATGAAAATGGGTGATTAGATTTTCACTTTATTTTATTTTTATAAGTTTAATTTTTATCTGAGAAAAACTAAAGCAACCAAAAGTTCACAAGTTTGTACTTTTGCTTCTATAGCCTCCTAGTTGTAAGTTCTTTTTAACAAATTCACAAACATAAATTGCTGAGAGTACATACTCATACAATGTTCACAGATAATCATATGTTGTGAACAAAAAAATTCAACTCAAAATTTGAAGAGTAAATTACCATAACATGACATACAAGATTGCAAAATTTAAGAGATAAATTCTAGGTATATGGTAAAATTATATATAATTTACCGAAAAATCACAAAAAATAAATAAGGATTAATTGCCAGAAAAAATTCGGCATTTGGCAATAGTGCATGGCTCTACATGCCACCACACGCCACTACCACGCATGGGGAAGCATAGAAGAATAGATTGGGGTCTTCTTCTATCCCCTCAAAAAACCCCTTTTCCCATAATTTCTTTATAAATTTTGCTATAAAGGAGCTAAATACCAAAACCTCTTAACTAATTTAAAGAAATTTCATCCAAAAAATCATAAATTTCAGAAAGCCAAAAACAGAATCCATGTTCTTCACAGATCTTGACAGCCATATGATGAAACCGAGTAATCTGTGCTTTGCTACCATTTGTTGAAACACCAAATCAATTAAATCACATAGCATGAATCAAAAACAAAACTAAGAGAGAGATGCACACCTTGTTCGAGAGAGGGACGTGCTTGCAGTTGATTGATTTGTTCCTTCCAATGACCATGACAAGAGACGAAGGAGATGATGGTGAACAAAATATAGAGAGAGAGTTAGTACATCTAACTCTTCCTTAAGGCTTGCTGGTGTGTAAGGGCAGAATGCAAGTAAGCAGAGCAGAAGTAAGGCAAAACGCAAGAGAAAGTGAGAGAGAGATAAAAACAAATACATAGACATATATAAATGTGTGTGTTAAGTTAGTGCGTGAGGCAGTGGATTACATCGCCTCGTGTCACAAAGAGAAAATAAAAATTATTTTATTATTATTACCAAAGCTGTGGTACTATATTGTATGTATCACCGACTAGATGGGTATTACTAAACAATAATGAGGGAGAGGGTAAAAACTTTCTGTAATATAATTGGTGTTAAATGTGGACCAAGCCATTATTAAACTACATTATCATCACACTAACAAAGTTAATGCAAATCCATAAAAATAAATCCAACACCAACAACAACATGCTCAATGAAGTTACAATTCTAGTAATCAGAAAGCTTGCTTGTTCCAATTCCACAACTACTCCAGCAAGAGATAGAATCTAAAAGGTACATAGAAAAGAACAAATTTTTTTCCAAACTTATTCAATAGGAGAAATATGTTTATAACATGCTGTTTAGATATAGGACACAGTGACTAGGAAACACAACGATAGTGAGAATGAATTTATTCTCTTCTTTAAGCTGCAACTCACACACTAGGAAACTTAATTCAATAGAACAAACGACCATGCTTTGCTTTTGCCATCTGAAGTTAAACTCGTTGGCTCCCATTAGTAGCATTTCCAGTAGTTGCACTTGAAGATCTTCCACAGGGCCATACCCATTTCTTTTTCTCCTTTTGCAACCACTTGGTTATCAACCGCAATGTGTGTGCAAGGAGAAGGAGGGCCATCAATCCACACCATACTGGAACTGCAACATACATTGTGCGCATGAGAGCTAACCTATCCCTCTTGGGAGTTAGCACAACGGTGGAAAATGCGTAAGTAAAGGCCATGGAGGCAATTGACAACCACATAATCACCATCATAATCCACATGAGAGCCCGGCGCTTGAACGGCAACCCACTTATGAGCAACAATATTACGCTTGCAGATGCAACAAACCCAATGGTGTTGGACCGGAGATAAAATTTGTATGTACGTGGATAAGTATAAGCTATCACAGCTTCTCCTACTCTATGTGGATTTGGGTCTTGGGAGTCTGGTGGTGTACTATCTTGCCAAACGCCACCTGGTGGGTTTAGGCCGGCCTGGAAAGCCATGGTGGCAATAAGGGATGCCACCACCATTAATGTATCCCTTTTCTTTGCTAACCATTCCTCTTGATTAAGATCATTTTCCCGATCAGAGTCCTTCTTTTTAAACATGTCGGATAGTGTACTTAAGCTTAAACTACTACGCATTCCGTTTCTGACGTTCTCCTGTGCAATTGGTGCGGTCCCATTTCTAACAGCAGCAAGTTTAATCGGCGCAGCCCTTGAGGCCCCTGTTTCTTCAAGGGAGTCTCTGATGTCTAAGTCCTTCACATCTCTTTGACTTCGAGATAGTATATCCAATCCTGTGAACCCCAGTGCATTTTTGGCATTTACTTCTATTGTTTTAAGACCAAGCATATATCTTATGGCCTGCCCAAAATATTTTATGTAAATTGTGGTTAGGATGTGAGATGACCTTGGAGAGAGAGAGTGATAGTATATTAATTAATTTATAGAGTAGAAGTATGGGTGTCATTATGGAATAATTAAACTTATATTGGTAACAAATTTCATTTATAATTAAAATAGTCCCTCAATTTTCAAATGAAACAATTTTGTCCCTTAATTGATTTTCATTTTTGTTTAATTAGGAGTATAGTCATTTAACGATTTTAGATGGTTTCCAAAAAATAAAGGAAGCTACTTGAAGAGGACTTATTACCACTATATTTATATAGACAGTTTCCCTGTTATTTTACATATTAAGTATGAAATAATTTAATAAAACAAGCTACTACAGCCCACTGTTATTACAGATTAGTGTTTTGGGTGGACAAAGTCAACAGGACTTAATAATTAAAATAATTATAATTTATTAAAGAAAAAATCCAAAATCAAATTAAAATTACAGCAATTAGTAAATTAAAGAACCAATTTGAAATTTTCATTTGAGTGTAAATCCAAGAGTGTAGAGTTTGAATATAATACCTCGACTTGTTTATCAGAGACAGCTAGATGTAAAATGGTGTTGCCATCAGCGTCCTTGGAATTCACGTCATTCGCCGTCTTCTCCATCAGCAACTTCAAAGCCTCAAACTGGCTATGCTTAACGCAGAGATGCAAAATGGTCTCTCCGCTGGGACCCACCCTGTCTTCCGCCGCCTCCCTGCTGGCTCCGACAAGTTCTTCAAGGACACGGACTCTGCCTTTGATGGCCGCAAGATGCAGAGGGTTTCTTCCATCTCTGTCCTGAGCTTTACACATTTCAGGATTAGCTGATATCAACAGTTTTACAATCTCTAAGTAGCCTTTAGCCGAAGCCAGGTGCAGGGGAGACCTCCTTCGGCTATCCAACTCCGAGGCCAGTCGAAGTCCTTGAGGCTTCAAGTCCAGGATTTCTTTGACGAAATCGAAGTGTCCGCACATTGCTGCCACGTGGAGAGGAGTTTCACCAAATTCCTCCACTGTAATTCTGTCCAGAATAGTTCCATCTTCTCCAGTGATTCTACGCAAGGCTTGTACATTCCCCTCGGCGGCCGCCTTGTAAAGCATTTTCGCCATCTCTCTCGTTCTCTATCCTCCTCTCCCTATTGCAGCATATGAATGAGAGTTACAGTTCATTTAAATAGACCCAAGAACTTAGAAGTACTTAACTGGGCTTAAGTCTTTGTTTATACTATTCTCTGCTGTCCTGTTCCAAGAATTGAAAACAGTGTTATACACAGCCAATGTAACAGGTCAACATTTGAGAATGGAATTGAGCTCCAAGGAAGAAGGTATTGTGGGACGTCATCACATCTCTCTCTGTCTATACCTTAATAGCTGGCTTAGGCAGGTAGGTAAGTGAGAAGATGCATAAAAAATAAAGAAGCACATCTAGATTAACACATACAGATAAGCCCATGTTAGATCAGCACAAGTTTAGTTTAAAATCAAGCTTATACTTGATATATGATTTTAATAACCTTGGCTCCTTAAGTTGTCCTATGCAAGTTCTAGTTTCAACGACTAAGTAAGGATAATTTAAGGTCAAGTAAACTCAACCGAGACAGGTGTATTGTCCCTGTGATTTAAATACTTTTTAGGGCCTTATCACCACTAGTAATTTATTCAACTTTTCATATTAACTATCGATAGCTTTGTGACTTCCTTCATTGTTTGCTGCACCAGTTCATAATCACCTGAGACGTGTTGAGAATTAAACTGGAAAGTCTTTTGGCCTTTCCAAAGGCCTATTCTTAGGTAGGTCTTCGATAAATACAAATAAATAGAGTAAAATACTTATTTATTCATGACATCAGGTTAAGATGATTTTGTAAAAGTACATTTTTAGAAAATGTTAATTATGTATTTCAAAAACGATTACTATCAAATTATAAAACGAATGATGATACCTGTAATAAAGAAAAAAAAAAAGCCTACTCTTGGGCTGAAATTCAATTAATTAGGACTTCTTAATTTAGTAAATTAAAGTTTTCGTTTACCCAGATGATAAAATTTCTTCCAAGTCCACCAGTTGATTAGTCAACTAATATTACCAATTCCGAGTATTTAGTTTCTCCAATTATTGGCATAGATTCCAAATGTCTTTATGCCTTGTTCAGAAATAGCATTTTAAAATGTAAGAAATTATTAATTCTAGTTTAGTCCCTCAACTTGTTCAAAATGTGCAATGTCATTCATCGACAGTAAAATTGTCCAATAAGGTCCATAATGTTATCATTTTTACTTGCTACCACTGGCTTCTCGGTCCCTTGCCCTTATATGTATTTGTTAAATTGCTTGGTTCACGGTTAAATCGCTGATGTAGTATATAGTACCCTGTAATGAATTAATTTATAAACTTACTTGATCATTATTTAATAAATTGGACCAGTCGATGGTAAAAAAAAAAAAAAAATTATTATTAGATTAAACCCATACCTAGATTATTTAAACAAAATACATTAGCCAAAGTAGAAACTAATAGTAAAAATTTTGTATTTAATTCAAAATCTCATTTTCTTTCCAAATATTAAATAGAATTTGTAAATATCATATTTTATTTTATTTTATTTTTTTACAAAATACTAAATAGAATTTAAATTTAAAATTCAAGAAATTAAAATTTCAATTCTGATTTCAAATCCCATTAATGCGGCCTATAGCAGTCAAAACATCTTGCCCTTTCACTCTGGTCTCCTAGCTCCCTTTCCAGCGTCTTCACCCACCATCCTCTCTCTCTCTCGCTCTCTCTATATTCCTTTTCGTGTGTGTGTGTGCGTTCTCTCGGAACCATGAGAGACGAGGGGGAGGCCGTGATACATGTCCCTCCCAAGTGGACTGGACTCGAGGACCCAAATTGAAGAAAGCACTCGGGCCAATATGAGAAAGAGAAAGTACCAGATATCCAATTTGAGGCCCATAAAAGCTCGATTGAATAGATCAAATTTATCAATGTTGATAAATGTTTTGATATATATTCTCGAACTACATCAATACAAAGTTTTGTGAAGAATACAATATATTATTAAAGTAATATTTTGCTTAATATGATAGAATAATCAAATTTTTATTTTTTAAACAACATTTTAATAAACTATTGAATTGATTAAATTATTGTTTTAAAACAATGAAAATTCTCAATAAATCATTTTTATATGACGAAGAAATATAGAGATTTAGATTTTTCTTTCCAAAAAAAATTATATACTTAAAGAAATTTCATATTAATGCAATTAATTTAATAGAAATTAAGCATTTTCCATTAAATTCACATGAATATTTATTTAAATGTACCAGTGACAGTAAAATGGAGGCGGCACAAATGCTTGTTTTTTGGGTCTCCTTTGTCTCGACCTCAATGGTTGGCTCAGGCAGGTAGGCAAATAAGAAGATGCATAAAAAATTTTAAAAGCAAGCTAATATTCAAACTTGGTTTCTTAGCCACTCTGATCTTGTTCTCTGCAAGATGTAATTTCAATAATTAGTGAAGGATGACTCAAGTAAATCCATCTCAAGTGAATATGTACCCTCGGCAAACCCTTCACGAGCAAACGCCAACAAATCCCTCCAAGCAGAAAGAAAAAAATGGGATGGAGCCATGAGACCGTGGGCTGCTACTTGCAAACTAAAGGAAGTTTCTTCAAAGTAAGTTTAAGTCTTTTAATGCAAATAATTACTTTTAAGGTATTTTGTAACTTATTTTTAAATTCTACTTTTCTTCGTTTGAGTAAGAAAAAATAGAATTGAAATTAGAAGTATAAGAAATGGGTGCTTCTATTTATTAGTGGTATTGTTGTAATTAAGTATAAATTATTTTAGACATCCATTTTTTGTGAATTTTTTCTCAAATTTAAAATTATATCATGGAATATTTTCTAAATTTGAATTTTTTTTTCTTTTCTTAAAATAATATTACAAATACGAATTTTAGTACTTCTAAGAAGCTTAGAACATATTTGCTTTCACCAATTTCTATAATCTTCAACTTTTAATTTTTCAGACATTTATAAACAGCACATAAACCACATTCAATATCCTTATTCCACTACACAAAAATACAAATAGAGGAAGAAGAAGAAAAATTTGCCCCATTCGTTGTTCTCCATCATCAACAGCCTCTGTAGCACAAAGACTGTCACCACCAAAAGATAAGAATTGAGACAAATAGCAGTATCATGTCACCTTATACCACAAGTATTATTTTGGGTGGTTCTAACAACGACACGCTTAATGAAGTTACAATTTAGTCATCAAAAATCTTACTTGTCCCAATTCCAGAACAACTACAATAGATGGAATCTAAGAAGTGACTATAAGAATCTTATTTATACCCAACTTACATCTGACAGGAGGTATAAATTTGTGATGCGCAAGAAAACTATTACCAAATGAAGTATTATTTAGATGAAAGACACAGAGAATTGAAAACACAGCAATATTGGGTATGTATCTTTATTTCAGCGGCAACTCACACACTAGGAAACTTAATTCAACAGCAAAAATGCCCATGCTTTGCTTTTGTCATCTGAAGTTAAACCTGTTGTTGGCTCCCATTGATGGCATTTCTGGTAGTTTCTCTTGAAGAGCTTCCACACGGCCACGCCCATTTCTTTTTCTTGTTTTGCAACCAATTGGCTGCCAACCGCAATGTGTGTGCAAGAAGAAGGATGGCCATCAATCCACACCATACTGGAACTGCAACATACATTGTACGCTTGAGAGCTCTCCTATCTGTCTTGGGAGTTAGCACAGTGGTGGAAAATGCGTAAGTAAAGGCCATGGAGGTGATTGACAACCACAAAATCACCATCATAATCCACATGAAACCTCGGCGCTTGAATGGTAACCCACTTATAAGCAACAATATTACACTTACAGATGCAACAAACCCAATGGTGTTGGACCGTAGGTAATACTTGTATGAATCTGGATAAGTATAAGCTATCACAGCTTCTCCTACTCTATGAGGAATTGGGTCAATAGGATTACCTTGGGAGTCTACCGGTGTACTGTCTTGAAAAACGCCACCTGGTGGGTTTAGGCCGGCTTGGAAAGCCATTGTTGCAATAAGGGATGCCACCACCATTAACGTATCCCTCTTCTTTGCTAACCATTTCCCTTGATTAAGATTGTTTTCTGGATCAGGGTCCTTTTTATTGAACTTTTTGAATTGTGCAATTAAGCTTAAACAGCAGTGCTTTTCGTTTTCGGTGTTCTCCTGTGTAATTGGTGTGGCATCATTTGCGGTAGTAGCAGATTGAATCCGTGCTGCTCTCGAGGCCCCTGCTGTTTCAAGGGAGTCTCTAATGTCTAAATCGTTCACATCTCTTCTACTTTGAAATAGTATGTCCAATGCTGTGAACCCAAATGCATTCCTGGCATTTACTTCTATTGTTATTTGAGGAAGATTGAGCATATATTTTATGGCCTGCACAAATATTTTTATGTAATTGTGGTTAGGATGTGAGACGAGCTCAGAAACAGAGAAAGAAAGAGATAGTGTTAATTCATAGCATAGAAATATGGGTATCATCATGGTATAATTAAACCCACAGTGGAAACAATTTTCATTTATCATTAAAGTAGTCTCTTAATTTTCAAATCAAACAATTTCATTCTCTTAATTGAATTTCATTTTTGTTTAATGAGTAGTGTGACAATCTGGCAAGTGGACAGCCAAGTAGCATGATAGGGCACACAAGATAGTGATGACTTGGCAAGATGATGGGGCTAAAATGCATGACATAACCATGAGTTGGCAACCTAGTAGAATTTACTCGGTTTCAACTGATAAGGAAGGAGTGAGTGGGACACAGTTGAAAATTACACATACTATAACTCGAAAATAAAATAAATGCCACAAACAAGCCAAAGTTTGTATCTTAATTAATGAAGTAATGGAGTGGAATGCCCAATTTGTATTAATTTCATAATTTTTTTAAAGTCCTAAATTATGTTAAATGCGAGAGAATAGTCCACCTATTAAATTCTTTAGTTTTGGATTATAGCTTTATATCATTATGCATAAGCAAAATAAGAAGAGTCATTACAGCCAAACTCTAAATTGTTATTGTAGATCACGTAGATTTTGGTCGATAAAGTGAACCAAATAATTATAACTCATTATTTAATGATTAAAATAATTGTAATTTATTAAATAAAAAATCCAAATCAATAAAAATTATAGCAACTAGTTGCAGAACCAACGTGTGCTAAGAAATCAAAGAGTACGAAATTTGAATATATTACCACCACTTGTTTGTCAGAGACAGCTAGATGTAAAATGGTGTTGCCGTCAGCGTCCTTGGAATTCACGTGATTCACCGTCTTCTCCATCAGCAACTTCAGAGCCTCAAACTGGTTATGCTTAACGCAGAGATGCAAAATGGTCTCTCCCGTGTGACCCACCCTGTCCTCCGCCGCCTCCCTTCTGGCTCCGACTAGTTCTTCAAGGACACGGACTCTGCCTTTGATGGCCGCAAGATGCAGAGGGTTTCTTCCATCTCTATCCTGGGCTTTACACATTTCAGGATCAGCCGATATTAACAGTTTTACAATCTCTAAGTGGCCTTTAGCCGACGCCAGGTGCAGGGGAGACCTCTTCCGGCCATCCAACTCTGAGGCCAGTCGGGGGCCTTGCGGCTTCAAGTTCAGAGTTTCTTTGACGAAATCTAAGTGTCCGCACATTGCTGCCACGTGGAGAGGAGTTTCGCCAAAGTCCTCCACTGTAATTCTCTCTAGAATAATTCCATCTTTCTCAATGATTTTACGCAAGGCTTGTACATTCCCCTCGGCGGCCGCCTTGTAAAGCATTTCCGCCATCTCTCTGTCTCTATCCTCCTTTCCGTATTGCAGCATATGAATGGAAGTTTGGTGCATTTAAGTTGGCCCAATAACTTATTGGTTGACTGGGTCAAGGGAAATCTTCATTTATACCATACTGAATTGCTTGTTCAAATAATTGAAAACAATGTCATATATGGCCAAAGTAAAGGTCAACATTTGAGAATGGAATTGAGCTCCAAGGCATTGTTAGACATCCTCATCTCTCCCTCTCTCTCCCTCTCTCTCTCTCACACACACACACAGAGAAAAGAACTTGGCAGTAGCCAAATCCTGATGCGATCTTCCTTGTATGTGAATTTAATGTATGACATTTACCTATTAAATAAATGTGTCATGCTATTTTTTTTTATATTTCATTTTTCTCGATATTAATGAAATTGTCAAATTTTGTAACACCCCACCTTAATTATTAAGTGATTTCTGATTTTAGGCTCTTAAATGAAGAAATTAGAACTTTGGAACTATTTCAATGAAAGAAACGAAAGTAAGGGACCATAGCATAAGAAAAGGGGTTACAAAACCATAGTCACACCCTATCTCCTTTTCTCTCTTTCCTTTCTCTTCTTCCTCGTGCCCGATTACTATCACCGACTACAGCTCCTCAACCGCCATCTCCTTCTTCGAGCATGGCGACCACAATAAGCTTCTCTTTTCCTTTCTTCTTTTTCTTCCTCTTCCTTTCTATTGTGTGAATCACACAAAGTGGTTCTAAGAAACCAGCAGTTGAGTTGCCATTGTAGGGCTAATCAGGGAACCTTTTGGCACCAGAATCACTTGAGGTCAACCTCAGTCAGCATATTTGGTCCTTTCTTCATTAATAAACCCCCCTTCAAGCCTAGATCCAATTGATTGTGTTAGGGTCACACAGTCCAGGACTTGTAATTCCTCTTCCATGGCCGTTTGAAGGATTTACTCAAGAGGAGGAGTGAAATTTCATGCGGGTTCTTAGTGGATAAGATCTCTTTCATACTCCTCCTCTACGATATCCCTAATTTTAAATTTTTGAAAATTTTGACTAATTATTAAGTTTAAAGGCTCAATTTCACAAATTAAAAGAGTTTGGGGTTTAACTATAATTTTGGAAGAGGGTAATTGAGGAAATTATAAAGACTGGGGGTTGAGAAATCAAAATGTTTGGGGTTCAAATCCACACTGTCGAGGGTCAAATTAAAAGAAATAAAAGAGGCAGGGCCAAAGGGTAGAGGCGGGTAAGTACATGGACCAAATTTGAATTAGTAAAAGGGTGAATTTGAGAAAAGATAAAGTTTGAGGGATTAGATTGAGATAGAGCAGAAAGTTTTAGTCCAACAGTGGACCAAAATTGTAGCAATCATATCACGATCATGGCAACTAATTTATAGTTGAGTTTGGTGTATTTAGATGCATTAGCTGTTACAGAAGCTTTCCTCTCAACTAATTTCAAGTTTGAGTGAGTTTTGGAGAGAAATTGGCTTTGGTTCAGCCGATTGGTCTATGAGCGGTCGAAACTAGTTTTTGGGATTTTTGGGTTGATTCGATTGATTGTTTTCCGATTAAAAGCCATAGATTAGTTCATTTAACTTTGTTCTACATTCCTTGGCCATCAATTGCTCAAGATAAGCTCTGAAATTTTGCAACTTTTAGGTTTAATGGCGTTGGGTATAGTGTTGCCAAATTGGGTTGGAAACTCAGGTTGTCAGGCAAGGAATACAAACCCTAATGGTGTTTGGGTTCGTGCTATGTTGGCTCGGTTGAGTTGAATTAGCTCACTAAGTCAACTTAGCTAGGATGTGCTTAAGTGTGGGCTGGGCCAATCTGTTGGGCCTGGGCTCAGCCGGTTGGGTTGGGCCAGTTTGTTAGGCCTAGGCCAGGCCAATGAGCCTAGGCCATAGTAGTTAGGCTAGCCCAAGGTGATTAGGGTTGGGCCAAGTTTTAGGCAAGTCGATCTAGCTTGGTGGGTAGACTCAGCCTAACGACCAGAATGAGTGAGTTGACTCAGCAAATTAATTCTGAATATACTATCCAGGACGCAATAGGATATGATTGGAATAGTATAACTAGGGCTGGGATAAGGTATCTAGGATTGCTGATTTAAGGCAGAACTAGTTCAGCGAGAACTTTGACTAGTTCTAGGAAGGTTATACCGATTCATGACTTAGAGGGTCTTGGTTCACCAAAAAACTAGCCGGTTCAGTGTTGTTTAAGTTGATTTAGTGCGCAAAATGCTTGGTATAACCTGATTTTTAGGGTTACTAGGCTGTTTAGTCCAGTTCTAGGGTATTTGAGGCTAGTTCAATCTGGTTCTAGGGTATTTGATGCCAGCTCAGTCCGATTCTCGGGTATGTGAGACTAGTTCAGTCTGGTCTTGAGGTGGTGTTCATGGCGGGTTCAAACCAATTTAAGGGAGTTTAAGGCTGGTGCAAGCCGATTCAATGGTTTTGGAGATCAGTTCATTACGGTTTAAGGGTTTTTAAGGGAAATAGATGTGAATTCTTGAGTCATGTGATTCCAAGTGATGTGGTGATGAGCCTTGGGATGCATGCAAGGGTTCTAGAATGGGTTTTAGAGCCTAGTTTTGGGCAGTTGAGTCCTTTCTTATGTTGATTCTAGTGTTGGTCTTGATTGTGTACTACTATGGTTGTAGATATGCTAGTGGAGGCACACGTTGACCATTAAGTCACTGTGGGTAACTCGAGTTTTTTACTTGGCCTTGTACTATGAGTAATGATACTTTTTCTATACATATATTTTTTAACTGTGATTTATGACATGGATTCTAGCTTTGATAGATAAGCTACATTTTGATATATGTAAAATTTCTGAGATATGTATTGATGTGTTTTGAAATGACAATAAGTCTTTTTAGATAACATATTTGACATCGGTATATTGATATATAAACTGTATATGTGTTTATGTAAAAATATTTATATTTTATATGTGGAGAGTCAAATATGTGATGAAATCGGGATGTCAAGGACTTGCACTGGAGGACAGTGATACATAGCGTCCAATAGTGAGTACCTCGAATCCAATATGAGACTATGATGTCTTTGACATGATACGCTTTATCATGAGATTGATATGTGATAAGATTAGGATGTTAAAGGCTTACATTGGAGGTGATGATACATAGCATCCAATGATGAGTGTCTTGAGTCCAATATGAGACTGTGATGCCTCATGGTGATATGCTCTGTCATGAGTTGGGATTATTGCATATGATGGTACTCTCACATATATGATTTGATATGCATAAACTGCTCACCGTAAATTTATATGTATGTTTTGGTATGTGTTGCGATGCATATCCTAACATGGTTAGAATATATATCATCTATTATTCACTAAGTTTCGTAACTCATTTTTTTATATCTTTCTAGATGAGGTTTCCCTTCCACATTTCTGCTAACATGTTGGTGTCAAACCTTGTTTATTGCCAATCTACCAAATGTACGGGTATACTTCTGCATCATATCTATTTTGTACTCTAGTAGCTCTTTTTACTATTCTCAGATAGGATCTTGATTTTATGTACATGGAGATTGATATATATATATATATATATATATTGAGTAAGGCTAGTACTATTTTGCATGTTTGGTAGTGTGAGGCTTATAAGGATTGGTGACCCTACATTCTCCTATTTCTTTCCTTTTGGTTTTCTTACCGTATATACTAGAGCTAGAGACTTTTTTGTTAATTTGAGAACCAGCCATATGGGTTTAGAACTGGATCCCTCTGTGTTTGAACATTTTAAGGCTTGAATATAAAAAGGTCTATCCATATATCCTAGTAGTAGTTAATTCCTATTATTTTGGAAAGCCTTTAAATATTATACTTTCTTTATTTTAGCAATTTTATGAGGGGTGTAATGGGGGCTAGATTAATTAGCTAAAAAGGATGATTTGGGAAGAATATATATATTAATTAGATGCTTAAATGAGTGATGGGTCATGAGGATAATGAAAGAGATTAAAGTTAGTCTATAACTGTTAAGAGCTCTCTATATTGAGTTGTGTAAAGTATGGGAGACCCTTGGTTCTATTTGTATATATATTGGTCTTAAGGTTACCTAGGGTAATCCCATGAGGTAACCCCCTATGAATTATGGGTACAACCTCAAATGTAAAAATGAGATATAACTCTGTTTGAAAATAAGGTTTGCAAACATCTCACACCTTGATAAATTCCTTCCTTGGGATATTGCACTAAATCTTTGTTAGCATTGGCCTAAAGCTAAGATATGGACATATTGTTGGTAAACTTTGATTATATGGTCCATATACAGAGGTGCTTTAAAGGAATCATCTCTTGGTGTTCGAGACCACATTAAGATATAAAGTCTGCTTATCTTTGATTCTATTCCATGCTGTGAGTGATAATGCCTATTTATTTATGGACTTTGTGAAGTTTTCTAAATGAATATGCTTAATTGATTTGAATTGTTATCATGCCTACAGATTTTAGATGATTTGTTATGTTTTGAAGAAACATTTGATACAAGTCTGATAACTTGATTCATCGTTAAATGATTTTAAATTATAGGAAAAGTATTTTGAAAATATGTATTTTTGAATTTCTATTATGTACTAAGCTTGCATATGAATTGAAAATTCTACTTGTAACTTTAAAAATGCAAGTGATAAATACTTATTTTGCAAAATTTGAAAAAGGAACATAGTCTACATTTTGAACTTTGAAATAAATCTTAAAAAAGAATAGTGTTGTAGAAGACTTTAATATAACTTTAGTTAGTAGGAGTGTTACTAGTCTTGTGCACCTTGATTAGATCTCAGCTAGTAGAGGTGTTCCTAGTGTTGTCCCAAAAGGTAACCCAAGAGGTGGGGTGAATTGGATTTTTATCGCAGAAGTTAAGAGTGTGAAAAATTAAAAAAATAATAATAAAAATATTGAATCAAATAAACTTATACAATTTATCTAATAATAAATATAAAACAATTTTAAGTAAAGTAAAAAGAGTAGGGATAGGAGATGCGAACTCTTTATAGTGATTTGACTTACTACCCAAGTTTACGTCCACTCTCTTAAAC